AGTGGCCTTGCTTGGTAGTAGTAGAGGACTGGTAGTTTAATACTGTGAGATTCCAGAGCCAGCGCTGCAGGAGGCTGCTCAGCCCATGCACACCCAGCCCCAGCCTGCTGCTGGGGAAAGGGCTCACTGCCATACACAGAGGGGACAAAAAATGTGACTCTTCAGTGAGACCCATTTCACCAGATCCTGCATTTGCAGAGCTACTTTGGAACACTTCCTCTGGCTGCTCTGTGATCCTTGGGCTCTGGCACCTTCCTGGCATTACAGACACACTTTGTGTGGCAGCGATGATGCTTTCTGCCCTGCAGATCAGAGTTCAGTGTAATTGTTATCAGGTAGCTCTGCTTTGCTGTGCTGGTGCCATCCCCAGCATCTTGGAACCAGGATTAAAACCCAAATCATTATGGCTCAAGCAAGATTTAGAGGATTTAGAGTTTCCTTCATTGTGGGCTCATCATTTGTGCCTCAGTGTGTGGTTTATGGTTATGTGGTCCTGGGTGCATTAAAGACTCAACAGCAAAGCCAGGGACTACATAGATGCCTTGGAAGGGTTTTCTTTGATCAATGTGATGAGACAACAGGAAAATGCTATTTTCAGCCCTACCAAAGAGTGTGCCTTGCAGAGCCTGTGGCTGGTTGACCTCCAGAGAGCACTGGGAATGCTGTGCTTCATTAAGCTGGAGCAAAGATTCTCATAAACATCATCTTGCTCACCAAAGAAGAGAAAAGCAGAAATCTTGTGTTAGTACAAAATAAGAGAAAAATAAAAATTAAAATAAAATACTCCGTTTCCAGAGCTTTAAATAGAGAGAAGTGAAATGTGAAAGAATTGCATGCACGCTTTTTTCCTTAGTCATTCAGTGGAAGGTGGAGTAGTTAAGTCTGTGGCGCCTTTAAAATGATTCATTATTTCCATAGAAGCCAATTGATGTTTATCCTTCAGATTGCTCTGCGGACATTAAAATAATGGAGAATTATATTTGCTTTTAATTTTGTTTCCAGACAGCTTGGCCTGAACATTTATGATGTGACTTGGAAACCGTATCAGATAGTGATTTATAGCTGCTGGTAATTGTGTGAAGATTGAAGATACGCTGGATGCCGCTCTCCTTTGCTTTTTTTTCCTCTTTGCCTCCCCCATTCTTTTGCTTACAGAGTGCTCTTGAGTGTAACGTGGTGAAAGGCCAACATCTCTGCCTTTATTGCTTTTCCTTGTACAAGCCACAGCAAATGAAGATTTTATTTCTCCCTAACACCAGGCTGTGTGAAATTAATTGTGGTTTGTATTTGATAATTGGTTTTTTGTTTCGGTTTGTTTTTTTTTTTCCTTTGCATAAGTTTTGACTGGTTTTGTGTTGTCACCTTTGTAGGGTGCAGAGAGTGGTGTTTTTTAGTTAAGCTGGATGAGAATCATATGCAAAACATGAATGGGGAGGGGAAAGACTTTTCTTTGTGGTAAGGCATCTGTTGAGTGTATGGATGTCAAATCTCCTCCCCAGGTGAGCCAACACAAGTATTCATACCTAAATTTATCTATCAGGTCTTATGGTTCAAGGAATTTGTTATTCCTATTTTCCTAAATTCATTTTTCCTGCACAGTTTTATCTGCTTTTTCCTTCTCCTGAGTAAAAAGCTGTTCTTAAGAGTTCTGTGCATAATATAATTTAACTGAAGAAAACAAAGGGGATTTTGTGGACTGTAATTGAAAAGCCCAGTGAAGGTTAGGGAAATTTTGAGAACTTTTCTAGTCATGTTGCAAACTCCAAAATAAATCATTTAAATCTAAAAAATTCCAAATTATTATTAAAATTTTCCAGGACACTGTTTTCATATTGAATATAAGAGTGTTCCTTACAGTTGTTTCCTGCCCTGACAAACATCATCTGTGTGATACTGGTACATGCTACTTTTGTGGTTTGGTCCTGCACATGCAGCAGTGTGTTTTAGGTTTGTTTGTTTTTTTAATTTCTGTACATAAAAGGAAGGCTCAAAACATGCAGCAAGTGCATTTGGGCCCACTTAGGAATTCCAGATGGCACTGTGGCCTAAACCAGCTGTTTTTCAGCACCGTAAGGAATTATTTTTTCTTCTTATCTTAGTTAAAAACGAGCTTGTTTAGTTTTGCTTTTGTTCCCAGCCTGTTTGCTTTCTCATTCTCATACCCCAGAGCATTTCAGTTTTAGTCACTGCATGACATTGCTGAAATCAGGGCTGGAATGAAGTCACAAAATGAACAGCAAGCCAGTCTTATCCAAAAGTCATGGGAGGGAACTGCATTGACAATTATTGGCAAAGATGAGCAAATGAACGCTGACCATTGTGAAATTAAGTTCACCTTATCTTAGCTCCTCGTTGTTTTGTTTTGTTTTATCAAATTAGTTGTTTGTTAGTGTTTGCAAACGTTGTTCATGCCACTATTCCCGAGTATCCGGCCTTGGAGCTTCAGTGAGAAAAGTGGTTTGGAAAGAATCCAAATCAGTTCATGCAGAGGCTGTGCACGTTAGTAGAAAACAACTGACAAAGGCTGAGCATGGATTTTGTCTGCACTTTTACCCTAAAAGAAGACTCCCTGCATATGTATCTGTGTGCATGTGTGTGTATGTGCATATATACAGTATATGTGCATATATGTGATTATATTAATCTCAAGTTTTCAGCAGTTTACTCTCTTGCTTTCACATTGTCACAGTGATTTACACTAAATTCCAGGTTTCCTTGCCCTTTAGGGAAACACATGATCATCTACATTCTGAGTAATGGTCTGCAAAGCATGTGCAGCTCTTCACTGTTTTTTAGTAGAGACTCTGAAAAGTAAAATATTTTTAAATGTTCTCATGCATTCAGTTTGTAATAAATTTTAGAAAATAATAATTTAAACACCTGTGATTTTACCTAGTCAGACTAGTCTGATTGTGCTGTAAATTAACCCTGAGATAGATGAACCATTCCTACTTCTTGACTCACATAACTCATCACAACCTGGCATTTGCCTGGGACAAATCTGCAGGGTCTCAGAGTTAAGGTCACCACCAGCCACGACAGCACAGGGAGCTGGAGGCCCTGTGGCAGAAATGCACCGTGGAGAAGGGCTCTCCCTCTTCCCACTTGGTACCAGTCATGGAGAGCAATGCTGGCTGCTTGGCAAAGTACCAGCACTGCTGTACAGAGCCTCTGCTTACAGCCCGCTGAGTCAGACTTGTTTACTTCACAGAAGTATTAATCTCTGCCTCTGATTGTCAACTACTCCAGGCTTCATAGAATTTCAAGCTGTAGATGACACAGTTTTGCTGAAAATATGAGGCTTCTGTTGCATTTGGAGTGATGTATTCTGCCTCACTCCCCTTTGGTTCGTTTGCCATGGCTGAGGTTAAGATGGATAATTAATTACTCCCATCCCAAGCCTTGCCTTTTAATTTAATGATTTTCTTTAGCATCTGCCAGAATCTTCTGCATGCACTCCTGAGATGTTAAGCAATGAAAAAGCCATTAAGTTAAATTCAGGCATTAATTTTTTTCAGTAGGATGAAATAGCACTCCCGTAGATTAAGCAGTTTCTGGTTTATATTATTTCATAGCATGGCAAAGAAATGTGGGAAGAGGCTGATTCTCTGGCTGCAGGAGAGGATGGTGAATGGGGAAGCCTATCTTCTGGTGCTGCAGCTTACCTCAGTCTTAGCTAGAAGCAGGACATGAGAAGGGATCAGTGCAGTGAAACATCTGATTGCCAAGGGCCTGATGTCCACGTTATGCAACTGGGAAGACAGAGGGAAGAGGTTTAGCTATAGTTATCTAATATATCACTTTCCTCAGAAATGCTTTTTTATTGCCTGTAAAGCCTTTTCTGAGAACGAAGCAGTGTCAAGTTGTGTTGCTCTGTTCTTTGTGTTTTGAGGTCCATGAACGCTGTCATGACTCATTCCTGGCTTTAATCACTCTCCTTCTCAGTCTGACCAATTCTCCGTGCTCTTTGCTTGCCACTCCAAGTAACTCCTGCATTCTTTTCACAGACATAACTTCCCCATTTAACAAACTATGTATTTTAGCTTTTTCTAAGAAATACATGAAAGCAAATTAGCGCAAAATCTGCTGCAATGGTCTCTCTGGGAAACTGCACGTACACCTGCTGAGCCCCAAACAGTAGCAGCAGGACTGAGCTTGTGTGTCAGAGACACAACAAAGGGAAAATGGTCACTCTTGGAGTGCCCTGAAACAGCAATTCCATGCAGAATTTATGGTGGGTTTTAGTGCTCCATCTAGTGAGGCTGAAATGTCACTTCTGCATTGAAATTCCTTATGCCTTCTGCCTTTAACTTCTGTGTACATCCAAGTCTCACTGTTCTTTATTAAGAGTTTAAAGATCCTCAGACCTTTGCAGTTGTACTGTATAGCAATTCACAGACTTGACAGCTTTAAGGTTTAAAAAAATCCCCTTTTTACTCCATTTCAGTTTTGGTATAGCTGCCCAATATGCAATTGCTGGAGAAGAATGTTGTTGCTACCATACCAGAATACTATAATTTAATTGCATGGAGATATTTTACTAATCTCAATATATGCTTGGGATGAATTTCATTTATCTAGGCCTAAGCACTGAACATTAGTTGTTCTAGATTAGTTGTTCTGTAGTTAGTACTCAGGCATCTCTCAGGAGAGTCTCCTCCCATCCCAAGCCATGTCTCCAAAAAACTGTTTGTGCAAATAGGCCCTGGCTATTGACCACGTCTCTACAGGGAGCCTGAACAATTTATTCAGATGGGTTGAGTCAGCTGCAGATGGTGAAAGCTGTGAAATCAGATATGATGGAATTCCAGAGTCTTTGCAGACCGATGATCGATCTATTCAGCGTTGTTCTCTGTATTTAAAGAATTATCTCATGTTGTTATTTTTCCACCTGCAGCCGCTTTAACAGAAGCTGTGAAGAGCTCACCACAGCTTGAGGCAGTGCCTAGCAGCACTGTTCACTCCTGTTGTCCCAGCTGTATTATTTCTCTCCTCTTTAGTCTTCTGGCACCAGCATCACGGTGGACATCGCTGTCATGGGGGAAGCCCACGGGCTCATCACAGACCTCCTGGCCGACCCTTCGCTGCCTCCCAACGTCTGCACGTCCCTGAGGACCGTGAGCAACCTGCTCAACACACAGCTGACCTTCCAGGCCATCCACAAGCCCAGGGTGAATCCCTTGGTGTCCTTCAGTGAGAACTACACCTGCTCCGACTCGGAGGAGTGTCCGGAGAAGGGAGAGAAACTAGCAATTCCCAAGGTGAGTGCTGGAGCCTGCCTCTCCCTGAAGGGACACCACTGGGCTGTCAGACACCACTGGGCTTTTTGTGTGAATTGCCACCTCTTCTTCCTTCCCTTAATCAGAAACCTACAGAAAAGTCAATTAAAAAGTTCCTACTGATGACGTTCAGGTGCTTGGATCAAGTCTAAACTGTTGTGTACCCCACAAACCAACAAAAATATCACAGTCATTGGTATGACAAATACTGTGAGCTCGTGGAAGTTGTCTTGAGAAGAAAAAGAAGACAGAACCATAAATACATATGTATAATACTGCCTTTTTAAAATGGCTTTATGAATGCTCAGGGATCAGGCAGGAAATAACCAGTGTTAACCACCCACACTTAGCAAGTGAACAGCTAGAAAGAGCACATCAGATTTGAAGTAGTGTGAATTGTAGGTTTGTTGCTAATTAGCTGTCCTGCAAGGCTTACATTTCATTTCTGAAACTAAACCCAAATGCTTTTGTAGTGCAGCCTCCCTTGTAAAATTAAATATAGGCAGAGTACATTGCACAGGCGAATGCTTTTATGTTTTTACAGTTTAAATGGCACAGCCAGTCATTCATTCCAGCATTTCCAGGCATCTGAATTGCCACGCTCGTGATTCTTTTATTACAGTTTAGTGTGATGATAATTGCCACCCTATTTGCCTGTTTAGCAGCTGTATGTACAAAATGGATGTTCACAGGTTTTTAAGCACATTTCCCAGTTTATTTTAGTGACCATGTCTATAATGGAGTACCCCAGGCTCTGAGGGGAAGAGTTAAGTGGAAGAGCACAGCTATCACAGGAGAACACACAGGGAACAGATACCAGTTTGCTGTTGCATAATACCCTGTGAGGAGAAGAGAAATGAAGGATGAAGAAATGAGTTAATGCTGCAGAGAACTAATTTGACTGAAGAATTCATTGACCTAACTGTATCACGGTCCATAAAATAAATAGTTTGCATGTCTTTATTTAAAGTGTCTAAAAGCAGATTTAGGACCTTCACCTTAACCATCTGACACTGAGCATTTTGTGTAAGGAGATAATGTGTTAACATATTTATCTGCAACTTTGAGCTTCAGAACCACAGATGTCTTCTATCTCATATTTCTTAACCCTCTGGCAAAGTCCAAGCTCTCCATTGCAGATATATTTATTTTAGTTCTTAACTATAAACACTTTATGAGAACTTCACAAGAGAAACAGCTTAAAAAATTATAGGATCTGCAACAGCAAATCTGGCACCAAAAAAAGATCCTTTATTTTCTTTGCCTTCAAAAATTAAAAAAACCCCAAACATGTGAATCCTGTTATTTGGAGAAATGGAGGAGTCAGGTTAAAGAAAAAAGGGGTTCAATAAAAATCTGCTGTAAACAGTGATGCTTCCTCTAAGCTTTTTGAGACATCATATCCCAGAGCATGAAAGTTTTATTTCAGTGTGTAATCTTTGGGTTGGGTAGATGTGGCAGGGGAAAAAAGTTTGAGCTCCCCTGCCTTATTTTTCTTACAGCCTTTCTTGCCTTGAATCTCTGATTCTGAGGATTCATGACAGTTTTAATCAGAGCAGTTGAGGTTGAAAATGCTTCTGGAGATTGTCTAGTCCAGTCCTGTCCCTCAGCTCAGTGAGGAGAAATTTTCTCTAGGCTCAGCCTAGATCAGGTTGCTCAGGAGGATGTCCAGTTGGGTTTTGAGTATCTCCATGAATTTAGATTTCACAGCTTCTTCAGGCAACTTCTCTGTGTTCAGTCATCCTCACAGTAAAAAAAAAATTTTCCTACATTTTAATTAAATTCCTTGTACTTCAGTTTTTGCTCCACTGCCTGTCACTGGGCACCCCTGCAAAGAGCCTTCTTCTTTACACCCTCCCTTTAGCTATTTGTGTACCCTGGTAAGATCTACCCTGAGACTTCTCTTCTTCAGAGTGAGCAATTCCACCTTCTCCAGCCTTTCCTTTCATGGCAGATGCTTCAGTCACCTTTATGGCCTTGCTAACTTGTTTAAGTGCCCTTGGCCACATCAGGTGTTGAACATCTGTGGCTATGGGGCTGTGGAGATAGATAGATAGATAGATAGATAGATAGATAGATAGATAGATAGATAGATAGATAGATAGATATACATACATACATGTTTTTTTTTAGACTTGAGATAGGGAGGATGGTCCGGACTCTCCAAGCATTGAAAGCACTGGCTGTGTTTGAAATGAATAATCCCTGGGAGAACCCAGGTTTAAGGGTGTTGTCAGACAGAATGAAGCAAAGGGAAATGGTTTCATTTGTGCCTGTGTGGAGGTTTTGTGAGCCTGTACAAACTGTAAGGACCTGGTTTCTCCGCAGCGCTTACGGAGAAGTTTGCCTCCAGGACTGCTGAGACGAGTGTCCTCAACCTGGACCACGACAACATCAGCCACAGGACTGCCCACTCTGGAGCCAGCTCCAGTGAGAAGGGACCGCAGTGCCAGCATCAAACCTCACGAATCTTCTTCATCCAGGTTACAAAAGGCCTCCTCTCACTTTTATGTTTCTCTTCGGGCAGATTTCTTTGGTTCTGTGTTCCAAATGCATTCAGAAACGCTGGCTGTGAACTGTGGTAGAATTACTTCTTCGTGTTTCTCTAAATTGATTTGACAAAGAAGCTGCGTTCCCATTTTTTGTCAGATTATGCCAAAATTATTCATATTATTGGGCAGAAAAATACATGTTTTTAAATCTGTTTATGCTAATGAAGTGCAGAACTGCCCAATAAAATTGGAAGAAAGGCAAGATATCTGGTTAAAGTTCTCTTGATATGCAGGGGTTGCCTATGTAGTTATTGCCTAGCCAAGAAAAACTGCAGGAATTAACCCAGCCATTTCTAAGAACACACCTACTGCTGTGGTCCTGTCATTAAACCAGTTCCTAAAACACTTCTCCACCTCCCATTCTTCTCAGGGCCTGATCCCTGAGCTGGAATCATGCAGCACATGGTCCTCCTGTGAAACGGAGAGAGAGTTGTGTCTGCTCAGCAGCTTTTAACCAGCAGCCAGCTTGTTTGGGGAACGTGCAGAGGTTGTAATGAAAGTTGTACTAGCTCCACACCGTGTCATTAGAACAGGATTTCCTCTTTCTGGCTCCGTGAATACTTTTCTGTTCTAGTCAGAGGAGCAGAGCCTTCAAAGAAGGTGTGGAGCAGGAGTGAGAACAAAGTTCAGGTCCCCTCCCTACCTAGGCAAGGGCCATCATCTTGGAGCTGGTGGATGAAGAAAGAGTGTGGAGACGCTGGGGAAAGGAAGATCAGAATGAAAGCACTGCGCTCAAGAGGGGAATTGAGAGCTGTGACATCAGAAGGCTCACGTGCTTTTCTGAAATTCCAAATTTGGTGCTGGTAGTGGGGAAGAAGATAGGACTTTGGAAGGCCCAACATCACCAGTGTTGGCTGTTGGACAGATTGGGGGAATGCAGCCCCAAAGGGCAGCTTTCTTCCAAGGCAGGCCTTTTTTCAGATACCTCAATCTGTCCCGTGGATGAGGCTGTCACACGGGGTGTGGAGGTGCTCAGGGCAGCCTGCAGAGTACCCTGAAAGTCTCGTGCAAGAAAAACACATGGTTTGCCAGAGTTCCCTTTGTGAGAAGTCCCATCTGCCTCAGTAAAAGTAAATATCAGGAAGCTGTAACCAAATGCAAACGTTCTTCACTCACAGACCTGTGGTTCCTGGGGTGCATTTGATTTATGCTGTTGATCCCACTCTCACGTAGCGTGTAAGTGTCCCAAGATGGGAATCAGAGGGAGAGCAATTAAATATTATTGTTGGTCCTTTCCTGTGGTTGTTATATAACCCTGCATGAGGAGCCAGCTGAGCAGGCTATCAATTCTTCCTATGTTTAATGTCATAGCCAGTTGTGTAATTATAGCTCTGTCAAGCCTCCCAGCCTACTGTTTGCACTACTTCTTTCTCAGTAGGAGAAACAATGTGTATTCCAGAAAGGGGGGAAATGAATCCTATAAGTCTAGCTTTAAAAATTTTGGCAGACCAAGAGAGATCTGCTTTCAAGGAGAAGAATTTTGAACAGAAGAGAAAAAAATTTATCTTGGTTGTCTGCCACTTCCCCTGTACCAAATTCAAGTGCTCCACTGGTCACAGAGAAAGAAACATTTCATAAGTTGAACAGTAGGAGAGAGGCTGACACTGGAATTGCCCTGTGGCAGATTCTGTAGTTACAAAACATGCAACTTGTTCCTCACCATGTGGGACATGACTTCTGGATTTCTGTAGTCGCATGTTTGCAAAAATCCCCCGTAACTGTCAGTTTGAGATTGGTAATTCTGTATTCTCCCAACCCCATGACACTGAACTGGGTGGACATTATACTGAAAAAATAATAGAGCTCCCACATTCTTTCCTTCAACCACTTTTATATCAAGTGATTCTCCTGTAGGAACTCAAAAGAATGTGGGTCAGAGATTTTTGGTTTGGTTCATTTGGGTTATTTTGCTCTACAGTGGGCCAGTGTGTTACATTCTTCACAATTAAAAAACAAACCAAAACTGTAGAACAAACAATTAAAAAATAAAAAAAAATCTGTATTCTTTCTTTGCCTCCCTTCATCACAGATTTGAAGAATTTGGGCCCATGAAGAGAGCCAGCCATTACTTTTGTAGGTAGTACTTACTATTCCAAAACAAGATGTTTGCAGAGGTAACACAGCGTCACATGCTTTTTTCTTTCAGAATGATCTTTTTTTCCTTCAAGTTTATTTTTTTCAAGCTCAGCTGGAGCTATGCTACTTTAAAAGTCTATCTCCAGCATTGGGTGTCATCTCATCACTTTAATGTGAGGCTGTGAGGAGAAATGTGGAGCCTGAGCTGCCTGGCAGACCTGTCCAGAGAGCTCACAGCTTGATAAGAGCCAGTGCTGCATCCCTGAAAGAAGCTGACATTTGATGGGTGTCTTTCAGGAAAGTGATTATAAATACAGTTTTCTTGCTGTGCAGAAGATTTTGGCCTCTTCTGCCATGCAATTACCACCCAAAGGCTAAAAGCATGAACCCATGCTGCTGCAGGGGACTAACATTTGCTCCCCACACAATCAGCCTGGCCTGACTGTGCCAGTCCATCACATGGACTCTGTTTGCTTCATGGTGGAAAAAACCCATTCTTTATTCACTTTTTATACCGTTTTACAGACCTCCTGGGTGACTCCAATTGGTCAGGAGCTTTCTTGTCAGTTATTTATTGGTGATTAACAAGTTGTTCTTCTGTATCGATTGGTCACTCAAACCCCTGGTTGTACGTGCAGGAAAAGTTGTTTGTGAGAGGTAGTTTTCATTTTTCTGTCTGATGGTGTAAAAACAGTTTATACAGGTGCAAGTTGTTTTTTCACCCAGGAACAGATTGGTATGCTAACGAACTGCTCACACCAGGATTGCTTTCACATGGGAATTTGCAAAGTGCTGGCTTTGACAAGGCCAGCCACTGATTTCAGGAGAGCAGGCTTGATTTTAGGAATTTTATAAAAAATCTTTATAATTTTCCTACCTTAACTGCTCCCTGTGACTAGCTGATGCATCTGCTTTTGTTCTCTGTCCAACCTGCTGCTTTTGTTATTTTTCCAACAATATAATATGGTTATTTCTTTTATTTAAACCAAAAAACCCCAACACAGTTGCTTAAAGTACTATAGGTTGTAGTCATGCCCTTTGTAAATGTTTTGACTCTTTTGATTTATAGAAGTTAGGCATGACACGATGCAGCAAGTGAAATACTAAATTGTGATTTATATCTGTAATTCCCTTGGCTATAGCAGGGTGTTTTGCATAACGTTTGTGGCATTAGCTGTCTGTGCATATTCCTTGAGTGAGATTTCCTTAAGCACAACCTACATGAATCCATTTTGAGCTGGAAGCAGAAACTGATTTGTCTCATGCAAACGTATCCAAGACACAGCCTTTGTAACTCAGAGGTCTACCTCTGTGTATTCACTACTGAGAATATACAGGTCATTCTTACTGATTTTTAGAGATGAGAAATATGGGGTTTTTTACTCAGCCTTTTGAGCCTTTTAAAAAAACATTACTCCTGAATTTCTTTCCTGAAAGAAATTAAGGTGACTTTGGAATGGATAATGAAATGTGTAATATGACAGCCATGAAGCAGCTTTAGTCCACAATAATGTGGTTCTCCTCTCTACTAAAACAATATAGCATGCTGTTTTCCCCATGCTTCAGCTCATGATCCAAAATTATCACAAGACTTCCTTTTTCATACCAGCCTGCTTTTTATCCAAACATAAATCCTGTTGAGATAATATTACTCAGAGATCCTGGCTACCCAGCTATCAGGTAGAAATTGTTAGATGGCTGAGGCCTGACATTGGAAAAGTCAGAGAATCCCAGCTTGGAGATGAGTTTGAAGATAGGGCTGTACAATTATTTTCCATTTCTGGTGCTGTCACATCACATCACCTTTTCAAACTGAAGAGAACCATACAGGAGATCTTTTCTTGTGCAAAGCTGCTTTGTTTTACCAGAGTGAAGATTAAGTAGCACTATACCATCTTGAAAGGCAACAGTCACATAGGCAAATGAATAAAATTTAACCTGGAAGATAATGCAGAGTAACAAGAATCCAGGGATTTGCTTTAGAACAAAACAAACGTTTGACTTGTGACTTTCAGAGATTATCCCAGTAAACTGAGAGGGAGGGCAGTGGATGTGTAATATCTTGTACTTGGAAAACAACAATTACCAAGCCCATCAGTCAGTTTTGCATTTAGCAATTTCTGCTTTCAGAAAGTATTAATAATCATCTCTGTTGTCCGAAGACAAGAGCTCCCCCATGATGGAGGAAGGTCTCCATTCCATCACGAGCAATTCCTGGGGATGCTGGTGGAGAGGAGTAGAAGTTTTGCATCAGTGCTTTATTTAGCAGATTGATATTACAGCAGTTTAGACTATTTGTAATCATGTATTTTTAGTTACGATTTGTTTTCATGTTACAGCTAAATAATTCTTTCAATTTGCACTAGTTAATACAATTTAGACTTTTATTTATTATCTCCATTGGTAATATACAATTGTTATTAGTAGAAGTTGATCTAGCTAAATCTGTAAATGCATAAATTTATAAAATGTGTCTTTAATTATGCATGAAAGCATTCACATTTTAAAATATTGCTAGGTCTACCTATTTTGGAAAAAACCTCAAATGTTTTCATATGTAATTTTGCACCACATTTAAGTTGCTGGTTTATATCTTCAATACTGCACATTTAAAGAAGTTCTGGAAGACCTAAGTGCATGGATGTACTTAAAATTTCTTTTCGTATTTTTATTCTTCACTTATCTTGATTGTGAAAAAATCCTTGCTGTAGCAAGACACATTTTCTCTCAGTTTTGCCAGTAAATGGTTGAATGTTGGATTATTAAAAAAGGTTGGCTTTTTTTCTGGTAATTTTATTCGTGGTTACCTTCCCTGGTAAATTATTTTCTTTTAAAAAAAAAGCCATAAGTACACACAACAAAAAGTATTTCAAAAGATAGGATGTCTACTAGCAGTAGAAAGCTTGCTGTGATTAGAGAAATCATTGTGAAAAGTGCTGTTTAAATTCTCAGGACTTTGTTTCAGACTGTTGAAAGAAGACCATATGTATTGCATCCTCTAAGAGTTATCAATATTATTTGTAACATCTATCTCAAAGATAGACAATAATCCAACTCAATCCCCTGTGCAACTAACAGACTGTGAAATGTTTCTAAAGACACATTTTTGTTGGATGGAAAGCTGGTATCACAATGAATTCGTAAATGTGAAACAGAGATTTCCTGTATTTTAAAGCCATTTCCCTGTGTCCTGGCCATCTGATAACATTTTAATTGCTCTCAAGGCTGTAGTGTTCTGATCTCAAGACTGGCATTATATCCTGCTTGCAATCATTGAATTAAGACAGTAAATACATACCACATTTGCTGGAGAAATACCCTTAATCAAAACAGAGATACTGGATATCTCCAAATTACAGCACAGTAACTATCAGATTTTTTTTTTAACTCTTGGATTGTCAACAGTAAATCATGTTTTAGCCTCCTATCACAGTAAGTTTCTGTCAGGGAAAAAACACTGGAACTGTACATGTATATCCTGCAAGGTTAATATTTCATAAACTTAGATCAACATATTGCCTTGTTTTAAGACAATTTTTGTGTCTGGAATGCATTTAGATAGAGGGCAAAATTCAGACTAAAACCCCTCCAAGTTCCTAAGGTCTTGCTGTTCTTTGACTTTGAAGATGAATGTGGTAAATTAACTGGGGCTGAGTTCCTGCAAACCTCAGAACAGGAGGTAACTCAATTTCCATGCATTTCCTTTCAAGACAGATGAAGTTTGTTCCTTTGCACTTGGATCATTTTGGCTGAGACTAGGAATTGTGTAGTGGATTCCAAGAGAGGGCTGCACTTTAATTAAACACGGGATGCATTTCACCTTGGCAGTGGTGCTCAGGTGGAATGAGGGACAGAGAGAACTGCACCTTGCTGGAGTTGCACATGTGGATGTTGGCAGTTTCTGTGCTCCAGCTCAGGTGTACACTAGCATGTGCTGCAGAAATTGCAAGTCTCCCTTAGTGAGCAACAGATAGAGAAAAATAAACTCAAACTGAAGATCATGGCCAATATCTTTGAGAAATGGCCCCAGAAGCACAGTACTTTGTATAATGTATGACTACTAAAAATTGCTCTTTTTGTTTTATTGCTAGTCTTCAAACATGTAGAAATCCAGATTTTGTGGGAATGTGTGTAAGCCTTCCTTGTCCCTGCTTTAGAATGGTGAGAGAGAAACTGCAGATGGCTCTGGTACCTGCCTGTCTGGGGCTGTGTCTCTGTCACCAGCACATGTTGGTACCAGCAGTCGTGCCACAAACTCCTCTTTCATTTCATGCCTGTCCACTCAGTGCATCCTGCTCACCAGGGAAAACATGCTTTGTGTTTTGAGCCAGATCTTCAGCAGGTAAAAGTGCCCGGTAGCAATGGAAGTTGGTCACTCTGTGACAGCCCTGGGCTTGGCTCAGAGTGGAGAAGGGAATTCTGTTATCTGTTTTCGTTCTGGAGACTCTGCTGGTGCATCTCAAGAAGAGTATTTCTGCACAGTGAACTAGTAATGCATCTGCCACTTCTGTTAACTGACAAGACTCCTCTTGTCCTTGGCCAGGTATCCCACCAAATATTTCACCTCTCACCTCCCCGTGCCATTCACCAATTCAGGGGACGCCTGCCACGAGTCCTACTGGAAAAACATCTTCTGTGTCATTTCCAGAGCCTACAGACACTGACACCAAGCAGGGCCTAAAGCCACACAAAGTCTTAACTTCTACTCAGAGTGCACCTAGCCTGTCAGACCCTATTATCAGCCCCTCCATCATCTGCAGCAGGTAAGATGGTAATTTGACATGCTTTGCAATCATTTCACACTGTTTTCATGGACATGTTCTGTTGGCCCACATACAAGTTTTTGTGATTTACTGCACTGTTTATATTGATATTTCAGGTTTATTGTACTTCACTAAATGTGTAGATCAATGCTACAAAATACTTTCGAAGTGGGAGATTGTTGGCTGTATTTATTGCTGTGTTTATTGCTTTTACTCCTGTCAGGTGGACAGCCTGGTTCCTAAACACATTCTTTGTCAATGACCTGCAGATCCCAAAGTTGGATGTCATATTTACAACTTGTGTTTCTGGAGCCATGCCCTTGGCATGAGCAGTCACCTTTAGGTCACAGGCCAAGGCTTGCACGGCAGGCACCTGATGTAGCCTAGAAAAATCTGACTGCTAGGGCCAGCAGTGCCTGAAGACTCTGTGATTTTGAACCTTCACAAAAATCACTCAGGAGCCCACTCAGGAGGAGTGGGTCCTGTCTTCCCTAGGCAGAGTCAGATTAAGTACTATGGGGATTTTTTTTTTTCCAGAAGTCAGCTGCAGATGAGTTTTTTTCTTCTGCTAAGAGCTTCAGTAACACAGTATAATTTTTTACTTTAAAGTACACCTTTATTAGGGAACACAGACCAGACCTGCTTTGCAAAATTAGCATTTTGGAAAGAAAGTTGTTCTGCTTATCTTCTCAGAAAGGATTCAGTTGCTGAATCAAATTACTGGAGTTTGCAGTATGTGTCCAGTTCAGAACACTGGGAAACACTGGCATTCCCAAGCCTGTCCCAGTGCAGTTTCAAGGTTGCTTTACTCTCCAGATGTTGCTTTTGGCCATAGCACGAGCAGCCAGCCAGCAGACAGCACGGCTCTTATCAAGTTTGACTATCTTTGGAAATAGTTTTTAGTTTCTGCCTTCAGGCATATGACTCTGGATGTGTCTCAGTGTGCTATGTGCAAGGCTAGGAAGTGGCTGTGAGAAAGTCAAAATTGAGACTGCAGCTTTGCTCTAGGGAGTCATCCTCACTGGAGTTTGGAGTGGGATCCAAACAGGCTTTTGAGATGGATTTTGATGACTAAATAGAAACTTAAGTGCTTTTAAGAGTTTTCCAAAGGAATACCAGAATTGGGATTTGGAGAGATTAATTTGAAATTAAAACTATATTACACAACAGAAATATAGCATAAAGGTGCTGCAGTCTTACTAAGCTGTGCCTTTATTATCACTGCAATAAAATACTGTTATTTCATGAATGGCATTAATTTCTAGAAGCCTTCTATTAAAAAGAACAGTTAAGAATTGCATTAAAAATGTCAAAAAATAGTCAGTGTAAGGTTGTTGTAGGTAGTAAAGAAATTAATACCTTTTTCATCTTGTTTATCAGCCTGACTGATACAAGATTTGTTTGCTTGGCTATGCACTACAGGTATCATTGAATACAGATTAGCATTTTAATCTGGAAGTCTTTCAGGAGCTCATGATGTTTTCAGGGCACACCAAGCTCCAGGATATGTTTGGATGACCCAGCCAAAAGCCAGCTGGCACAGGAATTAAGCCATTTTCATGTGTTGAACTTCAAATGGTGCAAAGGTTCTAGTACAAAATTTTACCAATCCAAGTAATTCTGTAATAGCTGATTGGTGACGACAGTTTTATATAAGATATGCCGCAAAATGCTGACTCAAACCAGAGAAAATGTTAACATGTCAGGTTGTAATTAGGGTTTAAGGGGAACTATACACGAGGAATAAGGCTTTTTAATGGAAGGAAAGAGGCAGTCATTTTAAAAGGTCATCATATTGTTATCCCTCCCAAAATGTGTTTCTGTTCTGGAAATGATGAAGGAAACTCTGCCCTCTTGGTTCTTATGTACTTGGTGTGCTGTCACTGAAATAATGATAAAATATAATTTTCCTCCTTAAGAGGAGCATATTCAAATTTTAAGCAAGAAGAGTGAAGCCAGATAATGACTGTGTTCAAACTGAATTCTACAAGATTGTATGAGACTCTGGCACAGTTTCATAATTTTAATTTGTCTTTATAGGGCATCTGAAATATAGAACTAGGGGGTTTATTTTGTGCTGGTATACTTACAGAATAATAAAAAAAATATTTAAAGAAATCACATGGCTGAGGTTTACTGCTGAAAACACAAATTCACAAATTTAATGGTGGTGGGCAGTTAATCCAAGGTCTTTCTGTATTTTTGTCCCGAGATCCAATAAAACTTTAGCACTCTCCTGTGGTTTTGTCTGGAGAACATACCCTGGACCATGACTTATACTGTGTGACATAATCTCACACTGCCAGTGGGAAATCCTTTCACACAAGACTGTCTAAGGCACGTGGTTCTTCATATTGTGTGTGTTTCTTGATGTATTTCAGCTGTGGCAGACCCTACAACCAAATAGAAGCTGGTGATGGGACACTAAATAGAAATGATGCTACTACACACACCCTGAACAGAACAGGTAATTCTTTGTCAAAAACACCTCGTTCCCTCAAATTAAGTAATTATCCACTAAAAGGGCAGATGAGCTTGTCTGCCATAAAAGGAGCACACACACACAGGTGAGTCCATACAAATTGTGTTTGACAATTCCATGTCCAAATGCTCCTTCCCTTTTCATACGTACAGCATGTACAAAAATCTTATGAAGTTAAAATATAAAGGATATACTGTTCCTCTCAATTTATTTAAATAATGGTCCTCAATTTTTTTTTCTCTCTCTTCATTCCCTGCTGCCATTTTTTAGACTCTGCAGGGCGTATCTTTAGTGCCCTCGGACAGATTGTCCGGCATCGGCGCCAGCCAAGCAGCACATATGTAATATGAGTCAGAGCTCCTGTTGCTGTTACTCAGAAGGTCACAGGCTGGCTTCCATGAAACCCTTGCTGTTCACACCACAAGCTCTGTGATTTGTGTTTGCAGATGATCCTGCTCAAGCCACTTCTGACTACGAGACCAACAACAGCGACAGCAGCGACATCGTGCAGAACGATGACGACACGGATTGCTCCAAGGAGCAGCCACGGAAGGGATCTGGCTGTAGGTCCTACACACCTGAGACCATCATCCTGCATCCCTTGACACCACCTGAGGTAGCTCCTCCAAGTTCCCCCAGCACAACAGAATGAGTGTATGCTGACGCTGAGGGGGAAAAAAAAACAAAACTAAAACCAAACTAACCAAAAACCCAGATCCCCACAGAAAAAATGTGGTCTGAGGGTGCTGCAAGGTATTATTGTCTTTAACCACAAATATAGCAGTGTGATGAATGAGTGGTGATTGTCTCACAGCATTCAGATATGAGCTTGGTTGAGATGCAGAGGGAAAGCTTTGTTTAGTTAGGTTTTCCACAGTCTGTTGTGCAACTGAATTAATAATCTGTAGTTGGCAGGAGCTCTTGAAAAATTTATTGTAATCTGCTGGAGTTGGACATGCTGAGAGAAGGCATTTTGCTTGAAATGTTCTGGCATGTACTCATCTCCAGTTTTAAGTAAAATGAAATTCCAGGGAGTATACTGGGGGAAATGTAAAAGGAGGGGCACAACCCAACTTTTATTTGCAGACCTTGAAAAACAGATAGGTTTCATTTTAAGGACTACAAATCTTCACTTGGACTGAGCTCTGTTAGCCATGTTAGAGCCTAGTGAATGGGTCCTGATGCAGAAGCAGAAGCTGGGAGCTTTTCTCTCTGTACCACAGTGAGTTTCACAATGAAGGCAGCCTCCCTTGGAAATGAATGAATGATTCCCATGAGTGAATGAAGAGTGAGTCTCAGTGCGAAGTGCAGACACTGCTGTTGCATAAACAGAATTTCCTATCCATTCAAGTGAAACACATTACAAAGGAGAGTGAGTAGCTGCAGGGCTGCAAGAAATGAGGGCATCTGCACTGAGCTGAGTGAAGTACCACTGGCTTACACATGATGCTAATGTGACTTCAGCTTTTAAGAGCACCAATTTTTGCTTGAGATGCTTCACTGATCTAACAACCCTTCTTATTCTGATTTGTGGCACAGGACAAGCCTGTACTGGCTCCTGAGCCCCTGGTTATGGACAACTTGGATCCCCTGATGGAGCAGCTAAATAGTTGGAACTTCCCAATCTTTGATTTGGTGGAAAAAATTGGGAAGAAATGTGGTCGGATTCTCAGTCAGGTGAGAGGTGCACCTTGTCTGCAGGGTCTAAATGTTGACAGATTTAGACAGAGGCATGTTCAAAGGCATTGTCCTTACAAGTTGATGGTGCAATGAACTGTGATCCCTGACACCTAATTCAAAGCTGACAGTATGAACTCTGCCTCATTATATTCCTTACTTTTGAATGTCTTTATTTTTAAATTTAAAAATGTGAAAGATAAAAATCATGCAGCTATTTTGCTTTCTGCTCTTTGCTTTTCTGAATATTCTCTTGAGATGCTTTCAGCCCTTACTGAGTTCTTTGGGAAAGGATTTCTCGTGGGGTTTAGCATGGGAAGACTAAACAGTAAATATATTCAGTGGATGCAAGATACACACAGTTTTGGTCCTCTTTTATACTGAAGATTTCAGTATAAGATCCCAGAAATAAAAAGTTTCAGATTTCAGGCTGGACAAGAAAGCAAGGTGTGAGGAAGTGGGGGTAGAAAGAATTCTTGCTATGTTCCCTCATTTTTAAAGAATCAGAACTTTGAGAGAAAATTCATATAATATTACACAGGGAAGATTTGCTATGAGCTAGGAGAGCTTTCTAATCTTTCTTTCAGCTCCCAGGTTTTTATTCCTTCCTGTGGTTTTAATTCAGTTACTGACACAGCCTGTGTCTAGCCAGCACGATTAGTGTCACCTCCCAAAATCACTTTCTTGGCTGAACTTTCTACTCTGCTCTGCCCCTTTTCCTGGCACACTGACAAATTAGTCCTTTTTTTTTTCTTATAGAAATATTGAAGATTATTAAACAGGAAAAGCAAGTCATTATTTTTATTATTATTTAGGGTTGAAAGGGAAAAAAAGCCCCAGAGAATCAGACTGAATGAGGATCACTTTACAAGGCATTATGTAGTGATGAGTCTGGAAAGAAGAGATAAAGTTAATTGGTACAATGTGGTACAATTATCACCCCCCCAGAAACACAGAGGTCAGTGTGTCAGGCAGATTTCAGTGTAACAAGCTCCAGAGAATGCTGAATCAAATCACAGTCCCTTGGTGGTTACCTGTTATTCAGCTAGATTCAATTGTCTGCTGGTCAACAAGGAGAACCGTGGCATGAATTCAGATTTATTCTGTGGTCTGCCTTTTTGTGTTCTGCAGCTTGGCAAGCAACATTTGAGTTTGAGCAGCCTGCCAAGTCCCTGGGTTCACTTAGAGAAATAGGCAAACTGTGGATATTGGATATATTTATGGGATAAACTCAGAGATGCTCACTGAGGCACTTTTGCACTGGACAGTGAGTGTGTGATGTGTGAAATGCTCTTCTAGATCATACTGCTCATTTTTCTAATAGCATGGAATGGTAATAGAATGATGAATGAAGCGTAAGGAAAACCAGATCTTTCTTTTAATGGCACAAAGAACAGTTTGGATGAGCCAGAATTTGTTCTGGTTTTACATGGGTCCCTCTGTAGGCTTTAAGCACTTCACCAAGCTGCGTGGGGTTCTGTACCTCTGGACACAAGTCCTCTGTGCTTCCCTCAAACTGCACTAAATCTCCTCACTCTACTTCCCAAAATCTGTTCTTTTCTGCAGGTTCTCAACATGTTACCCACTTCACCCAGTTCCACAAAATGAGACTTGAGAAATAAAATAGAGAAGCTTTAATATTTATTACGAAAACTCAACATTTTCTGTAACAGCTGTTTATAATAACTCCTTCTCCCTAACAGCAGAATATAGCATGTTCTACCTTGTTCACAAAATAGAGATCCTTATTACCCCCACCTCCTCACATGTACTTTCAGAAATCAGGAAACTAGAATAAATAAAATTTTTTTCCAGCCAAAACCACTATTTTTTTCCTGGTTTTATTTTTAAATCCTGGGATATTATTAACAAAGGTAAACAAAAGCTGTTATGATTTATTCTCAGTATTTTGCTATCAAATGGACTAACCCATTAAAAAAAAAAAGTCAATTAAAAAGCTGAATTAACTATGTTTGCCGTGCTAGGTTAAATTTCTGAGATGGAACAAAGCAAAGTTGACACATGCCTCCAGGGAAGCGTTCAGTTTAGAAAGCAAATGCTGGCTTAGCATCTTTGAAGCTGCTTGAGATATCTGTTCCTTCTTTGTGGAATGTTAAATTGATTTAGACATCGAAAAAGACCCTAAACCAGTCAGAAGCCATGAAAGCATCTGTGCAAAGTGGAGTGGCAAGCTCAGTCAATGTGGCAGTGACAAATGTGCATGAAAGGGTTCAGAGAGGAGCATAAATTCATTCTCATTGCAGAGACGAAGAGCCAAGCTCTGAGAACTGAGCTGTTGCTTCAAATTCGTTTCCTTTTTTGTTATTCGTACCCTAAAAATCCACAGTGGCAGGGCATTTGGAGCTGATAATCATTCAACTTTAGGTGCAGCTTATAGGGGCCCATTTATATATAAAAAGTACAGACACAAGCAGGTGTGAATAGATGTTTGAATTATACTCAGATGTAAAACACAAAGTAATTTGTGACCATTTCTTGCCCTAGAGCACTCACAGTCCAAATGTGCTTCAAGTTGCTTGGCTCTAGGTGGGTCATTACCAGGCAGATGGCACCAAAAGGACAGAATTCAGCTAACAGCAGTAAATAAATAAAGATTGTGCGAGGATTTAGGGTCCAATTTGCGACAGAAGTGTAAAGATCAGGCAGTGATTTTCCTGTGTCCCATTATTTTGTATGTCAAGTTCAAACTTGTCTTCAGAAGTGCCCATTTTGTGTCAGCTGCTGCCTGCATTTCTGAGCATTTGTCTCTCCTGGGCACCTCCCCACTGACCCACGGCATTCCCCTTCCCAGTACATCCCTCCTGGGTGTTTGCACTTAGAGCAGCTCTGCCTCCTGAGCTCTTTGCTGCCCCTGATACCCTGGAGGAGTCATTTTTGTCATTTCACCACCAGAAGTGGAGAGAAAGCAAGGACACAATGCAGAGGAGCCACGTGGTTCCCCCTTCTGTCAGTCCTTTGCTTGTTCTTCCTCTTCTGGGAATTGATTTGAGCCAAGGATTTGGGAAAATACTCCCAGGAAAGCAGATTTTCACAGGGTAATTCAACCTAAGGAGTTTTATATCTAATTTGTAGAGTTTTTTCTCATCTACTTAACAGCATGGGGGGGTTTTGTTTGTTTTTTTTTTCTTTTTTTCTTTCAGGTATCATACAGACTTTTTGACGACATGGGGTTGTTTGAAACCTTTAAAATACCAGTGAGGGAATTTATGAACTACTTTCATGCCTTGGAGTGTGGATACCGAGAGATACCTTGTAAGTAAAAATTCCTGGCACATCATGATGCTTCCCTCAAGTTTTGGGGATTTTGTGTTGAAGCCTTTCTTCTTGCATTATAAAGCTACTTTTTTTTCTTCCAGTGTACATCATGACCAAGTGGATGGCTAGGCAGGGGCTGGTGCTGAACCACAGCCTGGCATCTTTTTCTCTTTGTATTTCATCTTTTGCATTGTTTCATAATTCATGGCAAAATCTGCCAGAAAGCCAGAAATCATATAAAGCTGTTATTAGTAAAGACTGTTTCCTGAATAATGCAAGTGTACCCCAGTGAATTTGGAGGTTCTTGAAACATTTAACCCCCTAAAGGCAACGTGCACTTTTACACAGTAGCAGTGCTGTGCTACCAAAGGAGATGAGCTTTATAAGCAGAAAAAATATGCCCAAAAAACATGAGTGAGCCCTGTTCTGTTGCTACAGCTTAGCTGATGTTTTTCCGTGGGAAACATTTATTCCCTGAAAAAACTGTTTTCAGCCATCCCCAAAGTATTTGCTAATTCAAATCAAATTTATCAAAGTGCTTCAGCTGCAGAAGACTGAAAAAAAAAAGAGGAGAGACTGATCACCCCCTTTAGGTTGCAGATAAACCCAGCACTGAGGAACACAACACCCTGTTTTCTCTACACTCCCAGAAAAATGTGGGAAAAATCATTATAAGTCATGTAGTGTCTCTGTTGAATATTAAATACCAATTGTAGCACCTACAGTGGGAAGCATTTAAGGAAAGCTACCTCAAAATGCCTTCAGCCAGATGGTTTGGAGTCTCTTCTGGGAAAGAGAGACCCAGTTTTGATCCTTTCCTTGTGTTTGAGCTGGATCAGGGATCTAAAGCAGCATGTCACAGCCTGAGGAGGTTAGAGATGGAAGTCCCACAGCCTGTCCTGCTGAAACCATTCCTTTCTGTCTAAAATATTTAACTATTCATAGAGTCTCTGGGATTTTTATGAACCTAGCACTCTATTTCCCTTTTTTTTTTTTCTTAAGTGATTTTTTTTTGTTTTACTAAAGAAGAATCTCTTTCTAATACAAAATCCATTTATCTTCCTTTTTTTTTTTTTTTTTTTTTTTTTTTTTTTTTTTTTGTTTTTCATTTCTGTGAAAAAGGTAAAAGCAGCTCTGATGCTCGTGCTAAGGTTGGTTTTGTCTCTGCTGGATTGCCTGCCACCCGGTACCCACTAGATGGTGCTGCTAGCCCTGTGTCAGAAACCCCCTGATGTTTCACAGCTGGCTGCTTTTCTCCCCATCACAGATCACAACCGAATCCACGCCACGGATGTTCTGCACGCCGTGTGGTACCTCACCACCCAGCCCATCCCGGGACTGCCCACTGTCATCAGTGACCACGGCTCAGCCAGCGATTCGGGTGCGTTTAAACGTCAGCATCCTCAAGTTTCTCTCGTGAAATTTGCTGTGGGAAAGGCAGCAGCTGGGGATTGCATGCGGGAATTGTTTTGGCAGTCTGTGAGAATGTGTTAAAGTTCAGTAGCGCAATGGGTGTTGAAGGAGTTCGGGTGTGTTTGTGTAACTTTGAAGGGAATGGAATTGTTCCTCCAAAACCTAATACTTGACATTTAATGATGTGTGAATTTGTGGTCACCTTTAATGACAGATCTTTGTTACCGTTTGATTTTTGCAAAAGGTTTTTATTTTTGCAAAAGGTTTTTTCCTAGGAAAACTGCACTATTAGTGCTTTTCAGTGTTGTACCAGCGGCAGCATAGACTTAAATCCTAAAACCTTCATTGTTTTGCTATTCTACAATTTCTGGGGCATGCAGGCAGTGCTGTGCACTTGCCACTGCTTAGCTCTCATGAAGTGTTCTTTGCTTTTCCTCACTATCTCCAAATAAAAAGACTTGTTACCATCTGGCAATTGCTTTACATCTTGCATTTTTGTAATAATTTCTCCATGTTCAGTTGTGGTAACTAGAAGACCTGTCTGTGTTTTGTTGGAGTTCTCAGAGAGTTGCTGGAAAAGCAGGAGTTTGTTCCATTCCTGCTTATTTTCTTTTTTCTCTTTTTTTTTTTTTTTTTTAATGTGGTGTTAAATGGTATTATTCCTAAGAAAAAATTATTAGCAAGGGATTTCAGTGGCTTTGTAGGTAAGGTGGAATGAAAGGGGTTGAGCTCTGGGGCTTTTTGGTGTTTGTTATTTGAAAGAGGTTTTTCAGCTGCGTGCAAGATCCACTTGAGGTTGTTCAGATTAAATTAGCAAAGCATCTCAGTATCTGTCTCTGACAGGTATGCTCAAGATGCTTCAAAAAGAGGATGATAAGAGGATTATCAGCAAAGATCCAAAGTCTAGACATTTGTATTGGAAAACATCCACTGTAATTTAATTATTAAATTCTAGTCCATTGCTTTAAGGACTGTCAGTGTCTCGTGGACTTGTCTACATGATAAAAGAAATTAGAGAAAGGAGTGGGAAGATCAAGTTTCCCCACAAAGTTCCAGCATGGCTGTGAATCCATGTCTTACTGCTTGTAACTTACATAGTTTGAGAAAAGGTTTTGCTGGAGGGCTGGAAGATCCCCAGGTGGGATCAGAATTTGTTCCTTTCCAGTTGTTTGCCTTACTGTACTGGATCATAGGCACAGAAAGCACTGAGGTCAGGCTGCGTTTATCCTTACTGGAAATTTGCTTCTCTTACAGCAGGTCACTGAAAGAGTGGCCCTGGATTTTTGACTGTTTCCATTTCTTTATTTCTGCTCAGATTCTGACAGTGGAATCACTCACGGCCACATGGGATATGTGTTCTCAAAGACATACACACCTACAGATGACAGCTACGGATGCCTGGCTGGCAACATCCCTGCCCTGGAGCTGATGGCTCTTTATGTGGCTGCAGCCATGCATGACTACGATCACCCAGGAAGGACCAATGCCTTCTTGGTAGCAACGAGTGCTCCTCAGGTAAATAAACCTCAGGCAGTGTTGCTGCACAGTTTGGAAGGTCTCGATGACAGCTTTTCCTTGCTAGTGGTGCCTGTGGCTTCCATTAAGCACAAGTCTGCCAAATATTTTGAAACAGCTTGTCAAAGTGACAGAAATAATCACTTCACTTGGGGATTGCTGGTAAGAGTCTTCTTACACACCCTCAGTTAGCAGAGCTGTTGAGAAAGGTACTGATAAACTGTGTCAGTGGAGAAGGTAAAGCTCTGCTGACTGATAGAGAACCTGCAACTGTGGAAGAAAGGAAGAATTGTTCTACCAAGTAATGCACAGAAAGATTAAATAAAACAAAACATCCCAGTTGTGTAGCTGACTGTGCTTTGCAAGTTAATTGTGCATGATCAGAACACATTTTCTGTTGCTTCTATAGAATGTGAGCAGCGTCAGTCTTTTTATGAAAGTGTTTGGAAGCAGGGAGTGAAAATAGTCTCAGTGTTATAAATGTAGAATTGAGGTTTGCCTAAGGTTGCACAGAAGTTACTGCCAGTACTGAGAGTTGAACTCAGCAATTCTGAGTCACTCTTTATTGGCTTAATCATGAGATCATCTTTCCTTGCTTTACATAGCTGACCTGCCTGGCTTCAGCACACTGTGCTGAAAAATACTTCTATTGATGAGGAAATTTTAAAAAAAAGATGGTGACAGGTCAGGTAGGGATGCAGAAATTGTGGATTTACTCCCCAGCTTGCAACCAAACTTCCTCTGTCAACAAGGGCAAGTCACCTGAACTCACTCTGGTGTCACTTTGTGTCTATGACTTGATAGAAAAGCTTCTCATCTTTGCAATGCATTTCTGTGATCAAGAGCTTTGATGCTTTGGCCAGATAAATAGACTGGGAGAAGACATGTGCTATCTTTAAATCTAATTGAAAGAAACAAGTGCTCTAGCTCTGTGCTTGTAAAAATCAGAAAAGGAAGTTAGATGATTAGCCTTTTTCTATTTACTCTAGTTTGAAAATAAATTAAGAGGAAAAAATAATTTTCGTGTTATTTTCTGAATGCAATTACCATCACTATGAGAGTTCAGCTTCTTATTTTGATAAAGATTTGACCAATTTTGGATTTTAGCACTGAGATATCTGTCAGGCTGAGTATATGTTTTCAGGTTGCAAAGTGGAATTTCAGCTGTTCCTCTGTTTGGAATCAGTCCTGCATGGACACCACTGCCTGGTGCAGTTACCAAAGTGCAGTAATTCATTAAGTGAGGTTCATTCTGGCAATCGGGGAAGCACACACCTGTGTTGTGTTAGCCCTCAGCCTGTGGCCTGAAACAGATGGTCCATTGCTGTGATTTTACTAAGATGGTTTTGTCAAAATGGTTTTGCCGAGATGATTTTGCTAAGATGGTTTTGTGTAGATGATTTTGCTGAGATGATTTTGCTAGGATGGTTTTGCTGAGATGGTTTTGCTGAGATGATTTGGCCAAGATGCTTTTACCAAGATGGTTTTGCACAGATGGTTTTGCTAAGGTTTTGCCGAGATGGTTTTGCTAAGATGGTTTTGTGTAGATGATTTTGCTGAGATGATTTTGCTAGGATGGTTTTGCTGAGATGGTTTTGCTGAGATGATTTGGCCAAGATGCTTTTACCAAGATGGTTTTGCACAGATGGTTTTGCTAAGGTGGCTTTGTGTAGCTGATTTTGCTAAGATGGTTTTGTGTGGATGATTTTGCTAGGATGGTTTTGCTAAGATGGTTTTACCGAGATGGTTTTACCGAGATGGTTTTGCTAAGATGGTTTTGTGTAGATGGTTTTAGGAAGATGATTTTGCTGAGATGGTTTTGCTAAGATAATACTGTGAACATCATTTTGCTGAGAGGGTTTTGCTGAGATGGTTTTACCTAGATGGTTTTGCAAAGATGATTTTGCTAAGATGGTTTTGTGTGGATGATTTTGCTAGGATGGTTTTGCTAAGATGGTTTTACCGAGATGGTTTTGCAAAAATGATTTTGCTAAGGTGGTTTTGTAGATGATTTTATAAGATGGTTTTGTGTAGATGATTTTGCTAGGATGGTTTTGCTAAGAAGGTTTTGCCGAGATGGTTTTGCTAAGATGGTTTTGTGTAGATGGTTTTATGAAGATGATTTTGCCGAGATGGTTTTGCTAAGATGTTACTGTGAACATCATTTTGCTGAGAGGGTTTTGCTGAGATGATTTTGTCAAGATGATTTTCCTGACATGGTTTTGCTGAGATGATTTTGCTAAGAAGGTTTTGCAAAGATGTTTTTGCTGACATGATTTTGCTGGGATTGTTCTGCTAGCAATGGATGGTTGGCCAAGACGGTTTTGCCGAGATGGTTTTGCCAAGATGGTTTTACCAAGATGGTTTTGCTAAGATGATTTTACTAAGATGATTTTGCTAAGATGGTTTTGTGTAGATGATTTTGCTAGGATGATTTTGCCAAGATGATTTTGCTAAGAAAGTTTTGCTAAGTTTTTTTTTTTAATATAGTTTTGCTGAGATGATTTTGCTAGGATGGTTCTGCTGAGATGGTTTTGCGTAGATGATTTTGTGAAGATGGTTCTGCTGAGATGGTTCTGCTTGAGACTATTTTGCCAAGATGGTTTTGCCAAGATGGTTTTGCCAAGATGGTTTTGCCAAGATGTTTTTCCAGATGGTTTTGCCAAGATGGTTTTGCCAGATGGTTTTGCCAAGATGGTTTTGCCAGATGGTTTTGCCAAGATGGTTTTGCTAAGATAGTTTTGCCCAGATGTTCCTCAGCTGCCCCTTGCCCGTTGCTCCCACAGGCGGTGCTGTACAACGACCGCTCCGTGCTGGAGAACCACCACGCTGCTGCTGCCTGGAACCTCTTCATGTCCAGGCCAGAGTACAACTTCCTGGTCAACCTGGACCACGTGGAGTTCAAGCATTTCCGCTTCCTCGTCATCGAGGCCATTCTGGCTACTGACCTGAAGAAGCACTTTGATTTCGTTGCCAAGTTCAACGCCAAGGTGAGATCGGTTTGGGTTTCTATTTCCTCTGAATGTCCTTTTGGCTGCTGCAAAATGTAGAATAATAATCTGGCCTTTCTGTTGGGTTTTACTTATTTAAAGTTAGTGGCACAGCTTCTCTTCTTATATATATATATTTTTTTTTTTTTCAGAAAGTGGTTTAAGGCTAAAAATATCACTAGCTATTTTTACATTCTACTTTTCAACATTGCTTTCCTGTTCACTGGCACTTCGACCTATTAGCAAAGCACTCACAGGGGAAAAAATCAAAGGTGTTATTACCAAGTTTGCATAATGGCTACTTTAAGTGAATTTTTACTGATTTAGTCATTCTGTTGCATTACCAAAACAAAAATCAGAACAATTTTGACATTCTAATTTCAAATGCAGTGAAAGCATGGTCTTCCTTTCCTTTCTCTTTCCAGAAGAATGTCACTAAACATCTTTCCTGCATGCTCCATTCAGTGAGCCATAACACTACAACCCTGAGAAACCATTCTTAAAAACTGTTTACAGTTTCAATCTAACTTATTGGAAGTCACCTCCTATAAAGACACTTTAATAAACTCCATCACCCAGCAAAGATGTTGGCATGTTAACTAGATACCTGCCCTTGGAGCTGGTAGTGTTTTCTTGTTCCTAGTGAGAAACTCCCAAAAATGGTGTGTTTTGTATTTGGGACCTCCTGGCTGTTTTGGTAGCATGGATAAAATCTTTCCTGTGGCATTACTTAGCATGGATCTGTATGCTGACACTTTGAAACCTCCACGTATATGACTGGATTTTTTTTTTCCATTTCCCTTTAACATCTCCCTTTGTCAGGCTTTAAGAAGCTGTGGAGAAAGGCCCTAGATGTGGTCCAGGGTAGAAAGAGATCTGATCTGTAGATCCATAAAAGTCTGAGCTCCTTCTGCACCCCTGCCAGTCATGTCCCCTCCAACCTTAACCTTTCTGCTTTTATTTTAGAGCAGCTGACACTATGTGTCGCTTTTTCTTGTGAGAGGTATGGGGAAAATAGAGAAAAGGAAAAAGGGAGGAAATTGTTTCAGCCATGCTTAGATCAAACAGGGAAATAAGCTCATTACACACATCTTCACTCTGCAATCAAACCATCATGATACTTTATAGTAATTTGTATTTATACACCAATTGGTATAAACTTCTTGAAAAATGTCATGGAAAGATTGCATTTGTTTGTTTTCCTAGTAAATCCTTCCAAACAGGTGCATAATGTGCAGTTCTAATATATAATATTATATTACTTATATGATACATATTATATTGCCATATAGTATATATAAATGATATATACTATATTATTATGTAGTGCATAAATAATATTTTATAATATAATAATTTATGTTATATTAATATTTTATATTATATAATTGGTATATAATATAGTATATATTATTATATATTATATAGTAATATATAGTATATATATTATATTATATATAGTGTTATATATATAATATATAATAATAATATTGACTTATCTTTATTCCTCTTTATTCACCTTAGTGTTCCTTGGTTTTCACTTATTTTTCCCTTTCCATCTTGCTAATTCCAGCCTGGGATTATCTCAACTACTTTTGCTAGTGATTTTGTTGAACAGCTAAATATATTGTGCAGTAGCCCAGGTCAGATCTTGCTCTGCTGCCTGGCATTACCCTCCTGGTTTCCTTTTCCCTGTCTGCAGGTGAACGATGACGTTGGCATTGACTGGACCAACGAGAACGACCGCCTGCTGGTTTGTCAGATGTGCATCAAGCTGGCTGACATCAACGGGCCTGCCAAATGCAAGGACTTGCACCTGCAGTGGACAGAGGGCATCGTCAACGAGTTTTATGAGCAGGTAAAGGCATTCCAAAGCTGCTTTCCTGGTGTTCTGGAGCATGGCAGTGCTGCTGGCCAGTGAAAAATCACAGAGTAGGGGCGGAGAGGTTGGCTAGAGTCACATTAATCCAATTTTTTGCTGGGCCAGTGAAAGTCCATTTGTCACTGAAGTTTCTGATGTGTTCTCAGAGACCTCTGGTGATGGTGTTTCTACAGGCTGAACTGTTCAAGGCTGGGACTGTGGATGGTGAACGAGTGTTCCTTTCCTCTTTTGTTTTCCTGTTGTCAGTCATCATGGCTGTCATTTCCCTCTTCTTTAGTGCAAGCCGTGTTTTCATCCACAGATGGATTTAGAAAGCCCTGGGAATACAGCCAGGCACTGCTCCTCTCCTTCTAGGTGTAAGGGAGCCCTTCATTGAACCTAATTTCCTCATTTTAACCTATTTAGCCCTGCTGAGTGCAAGGTCAGGGCTGTTCCCACACTGTTCCTCTGTTTCCTGAGTGGGAACAATTTGAATGTTCTGGTCAGGTGAAACTCCACATCCTTTCTTTTCCACACGAAGCAAACAGGCTAAATCACTGAACAAGACAACCCACAGACTTCTCAGGGAGGCTGTGCAGAAACTTGGAGTCACAGACTAAGCCCTTTTAAAGCTTTTTCAACTTCCCTTAAATTTACTGCACTTACAGTTTGGGAAGAAGACAATCCAACCAGGATTTGCTGCTGCCTTCTGGAGAGTATAAAGAGACAGGGAAAGGGACATAATTCAGGAATTGACCTGAAGCTTCTTCATTTCTCTCAAATCTCACAAGAAAAACAAAGTCCAATGAGCCTTACCTATAGTATGAATTTTAGCTGGTTCCATTTTTGTTTTCACTTTTTTTCTTAAACAAAGAAATTGTGTCCCAAAACAACCTTCATGCCCCACATTGTTTCAGGCAACGCTTTTATTCTTCATTACAACTGTCCCAACAAACTGTGCTTCACAATTCTGGCGATGATCATAGCTTGTGTGGGTGCCTAGTGCATGCAGACAATCAGATGTAGAACATGACTTTCCTTTTTTTCCAATAAAAGTTACATCAGAGGGAAATGCCCCAATATATTAACATCAGCAAAGCCTTGGAGAGTCAGTCAAGCTTGTGAGGATACAGATGTGGGAAGATGTTGTGTTACCTGTTCCACAGTATGAGCCTGTGTTATTTTCCATCATTCAGGAATGGGATCCAAAACAGAGAACGTTTTCTTTCTTGGATTTGTTTTTGGCATTAAGGGGGATAAGCTAGATTCTCAGTTTCTTTAATCTCTATTAAAAGCTGTTTTTCTTTAATGTTATAGGCTATAAGAGGTGTATGAAAACATATTAACCATGTTTTTGAGCATTAAATTTTTTCTGCGACTGGAAAAGTCTTCCCATTCTCATTCCTAAAAAGGAGAATTTTATGGGAAGTTTGAATTTCCCTGGAAGTATTATCAAAATTCACACATATGTGAATTCAAACTATGCTGTGAAAATTGTGAAATGTCTTTGATACAATAAACACCAATTCCTTTCAAGAATTTCACTCCTATATAAGTAAAAACTGCTTATTAAAAATGTGTTGTGTAAAAATATTCAAAATCCTCTGTCATATTGTTGCAGGATGTTTCCTTCTCTTCACATGTCCAGCATAATTATATGAAGACAGGACAGACAGAATTTAAAAAAACACACTGCAAGATGTTTCACCTAATAAATCATGTTTTAACAGAACAATAAAAAGGAATTTGCAAACATTTCAACAGTCAGCATTTCTGCCAGTTCACAGCTAAGAAATCTCAGATATGATTCTGTAAAGAAGAGCAAGCTGTCACCTCTTCTTAATTTGCTTGCTATTTCAAGAATGGATGGCATGTTTCAGTGTTTTGTCAACACAAGAATTTTGTTTTTAATGATTGCAATAACACTTCTGGCTTGGTTATTACTAAATTAGCAAACAAAACACAAGGAAATGAGATATTTGCTGTACATACTCCAAAATTTAGCTCTCATTTTTTGGCCTTCACCATATACAGATACAGACAGGATGTTGGTCAGTTGTGAAGACCATTACTTTGGAAAAATTTACATTACAAGGAGATAAGTATAAGCAAACATAATGGAAACTGAAAAAGCATCTCCAAATTTTAGCATATATCCCATAATATGGAACTCTGTATTGTGTTACAGCAATCAGTTACACATCAGGCTTGATTAGGGAGGTTAGATATTTTTGGGGGGGAGATGGCATCTGGTCTTGTCGTGTCTGCTCAGCTGAAAGCTCACTGATGCCACCAGAAGCTTTGCTGTGATAGGGAATTGAGTATATCAGATTTGGCTCTGCAATAAAGTTTTGCTTTATTTTGCATCATAAAGATGAGAAGAGAGAGAAAAATCTTCTCTTTTGCCTCCCTCTCTCTCCCAAAAAAGCTTTGTGGGAAAGATTTACTGGTTTTGAGCAAATGAATGTGATGCATTGCTTTAACTGGGATCATTCTAATAGTCATAGGAAACAAATATTTATGACCCAAAGCCAAAAGGACATCTCCAGGTTACTTTTAATAAGGATGAAATCAATAAGAAAACTTAAAATTAAAAAAAAATATGAATAAGAAAAATTCAAAAAAATCAAATAAGAAAAATTAAAAAATCAATAAGAAAACTTTAAAAAAAAAAAAGAATAGTCTGTGAGATAGCCCTGTCTTGTAGAAGTTGTCTTACTCCCTGTAAACAAGGTTGTTGGGAACTAACAATCACACAGTCAGAATGGACTTTTTTAAAAATAATGCGAAGAAAGAAATGAAATAACAATTTTCAAGTTTTCACACAGCGTAAAGTTCAGGGCTAGGGGCATCCTTCTGCAGAGTCATTGTTAAATTCATTCTTGTTGAATTCACATTATTGGTAGTGGGTTGGTGTCAAGAAAAGAGCTGTAACTGTGCCATTTGACACGACGGCACTGTCACCATGAAAGTGCCAGGCTGGCATTTAGATGCTGTCCTTTCAGCATTTTTAGTTGGCTGGGTGTGCTTTACCCCTTTCTGTGGCATGGTTTTGTTGCATTTAGCTCAGAAATGAGGGCTGTTTGCCATCTGCAGGGCGATGAAGAGGCCAGCCTGGGCCTGCCCATCAGCCCGTTCATGGACCGCTCCGCGCCCCAGCTGGCACACCTCCAGGAGTCCTTCATCACCCACATCGTGGGACCACTCTGCAACTCCTACGACTCAGCAGGGCTGATGCCAGGAAAGTGGGTAGAAGAGAGTGATGAGTCAGGAGACACTGATGAGCAAGAGGAGGAGGAAACAGCAGAAATGGAAACTTGTGAAAACGCCGAATCCAGTAAGTTGTTGACGCTTCCCTTTTCCAACAAAACAAGTTCCATGTAGTGACCAAAACACTAAGCAGAGGCTGTGAGCTGGCCAGGTTCAGCATGGGCGTCTTCCAGAGTGACAGAGAGTCCTTGGTGTCCTTGGCTGTCCTTGGAGGAGCTGTAGCCACTTACATTGTGAACGGAGGTGCTCCGTGGTTTCAGCACCGATGTACTTCATATCCACTGTGGTATTTTTGGGGTTCCCAGGATGAAGGAGGAGTGATTGAATCTGACTCCCTGTTGTTAGAAGGCTAATTTATTATATTATGATATTATATAATGTTAAAGAATGCTGTATTAAACTATAGTAAAGAATAGAGAAAAGATACAGACAGAAGGCTACAAAGAATGATAATGAAAACTCAGACACTCTGTTCCAGAGTCCTTACACAGCTGGACATGATTGGTCATTAAGTAAAAACAATTCACGTGAAACCAATCAAACAATGACCAGTTGGTAAACAATCTCCAGACCACATTCCACAGCAGCAAAAACAGGAGAAGCAATCAGATAATTATTGTTTTCATTTTCTTCTGAGGCTTCTCAGCTTCCCAGGAGAAGAAATCCTGGCGAAGGGATTTTTCAGAAAATGTGACAGTGACAATCCACCACTTATCTCCACCTTAGCTGGGGTTTCTGGTGGTGGATCATCTGTCTGTGCATGAGGGCTTTCTGGACTCTTTCAGGACTGGTGTTGATAGAGTGCAAGAATTGCAGTTGAAAATAGGATGTTTGGGAGAAGATTTTTCAAGGAAAACACTCATCATTTCCATGAGTTAACATGACAAACAGGAATGATAGAATGAGGATCTGAAATGCTGGTGGAGTAAAGGAGTTTTTAACAATGGAATCATTTTAATGCACATCTCTTCAAGGTATCATGGAGAGGAGTGGGAAGAGAATTGGCACTGAGCTTTGCTGTGTTGTGTGCTGGGAGCTGCATCACTTGGCTAACCAGTAACTAAAGCTCATGTTCTCCTGCCTCTCCTCTAGAATGGCAACACTGCCAGTGTTTGCTGTACTGAGATTAAAGGTTTTTACCTTGAAAGGAGATTTCTGGCACTTATGGGAAGTGATTTTTAAGAGAAAATACTGCAGCTGTAGACCTCTTCCTTTTATCAGTTCCATCCTGCATTACTTTTTTCTTTCTTTCATGTTCTTTTTCCCTCTGAATTTTCTACTGCTGTTCCTGTATTTCCCTCCTCTAAGTGATATTTCTTTCTCTCCCCCGTGTATCCAGAAGTTTTAGGAAACAGCAGCCTGAAGTGCACTCGTGAAATACCCATACTTTTTCCCTCAGCAGCCTCACTTTATCTGTTCTTTCCCACACATATTCTTTCATGCCCTGCCTGGGTATCATCCCTGTTTTCTGTTGGGAAAGCTGAGAAATATTTGATGAGTGCAGTAAGTCACATATGGATGTGGAACTAAAATCTGTGTCTCCTGATGTGCAGAATTAACCTTTTATCTCTAGTAAGATCCAGAGGTAAACAGCTTGGATTTAAGAAATCATTGCTATTTTTCACACACACACCCTTGCACATATTTTAAATTTAGCAATTTCACATGCATTAAAAAAAAATCCTGTAGAGAACAGTAAACATCAGGTAATGTAACACCCATGGGTTAATTTATCACCTTATGATCTGTTAGTTCTGTAACATGCAGAGCCACATGTTTGTGGCAGATTGGCCTTTCTGGAAGTTCCTGCTAGGAGGAAATGTAATTAACACAGACCCCAAAGCCTGAAACTGATACTGCTGTATTAAAAAAAAAATATGAAGGATGTTCTCATATATCCACGGTGTCTCTAACCTCACTCTGAAATCCTTGGTTTCCTTTCATTTAATACCTCTATTCATTTATCTTCTGTATCACCATTAGTGGAGTCAAATAATGCTGTTTTCAGGTTAAAAGCACTGATCATTATTAACCCTTTTCACGTTGCAAACAGACTGATTTTAGTGATCTTCTGTCCGTGTTCACACTTTCAGAAGTGTGTCCCTGTGATCAGCCCAATTTTGGACTTTCTGAACTTTCTCAATGAAGCAATAAAAGGTTGAGATGTCAGATGCCCAGACTTTGACTGGTATAGATGTTGGTAAAGATCTTTGATGAAAATGCCTTTTAGGCATTTTCAGTGGCAGAAAACACTTCATCTAGGTCCTGATCACACACACACCCTTGCACATATTTTAAATTTAGCAATTTCACATGCATTAAAAAAAATCCTGTAGAGAACAGTAAACGTCAGGTAATGTAACACCCATGGGTTAATTTATCACCTTATGATCTGTTAGTTCTGTAACATGCAGAGCCACATGTTTGTGGCAGATTGGCCTTTCTGGAAGTTCCTGCTAGGAGGAAATGTAATTAACACAGACCCCAAAGCCTGAAACTGATACTGCTGTATTAAAAAAAAAAATATGAAGGATGTTCTCATATATCCACGGTGTCTCTAACCTCACTCTGAAATCCTTGGTTTCCTTTCATTTAATACCTCTATTCATTTATCTTCTGTATCACCATTAGTGGAGTCAAATAATGCTGTTTTCAGGTTAAAAGCACTGATCATTATTAACCCTTTTCACGTTGCAAACAGACTGATTTTAGTGATCTTCTGTTTTCTTCTTTACCCTGTTATAGTACCTTAATATTCAGCCTGGTGGTTTTAGACTATGGTTTTCAAAGCTTTAAAAATGAATGTATCAGAAGTTTTGAAATATTCCACAAGTTCTTTCTGTTTCCTTTGTACCAAATGGGGGATGCTCCTCTTCTTGATCACACTAATGTGTGGCAAATCGTTGTCTTCAGGTCCCCTAAATCTCTGTGGTTGTGTGGACCTTACTCACGATTCTGTGACATCTTTTGTGTCAATATAAGGGCCTCTTAGTTCCTTAGAAGTGTGTCCCTGTGATCAGCCCAATTTTGGACTTTCTGAACTTTCTCAATGAAGCAATAAAAGGTTGAGATGTCAGATGCCCAGACTTTGACTGGTATAGATGTTGGTAAAGATCTTTGATGAAAATGCCTTTTAGGCATTTTCAGTGGCAGAAAACACTTCATCTAGGTCCTGATAATTCACTGAAGAAGTTGAGATAAATTTAAGAGTTATAGCCTTGAAGTAGCCTTAAGTAATTTTTTTTACTATACAGGAGCATGTACTTGCCCTGAAGGTCTTATGCAAGTATAAGAATTAAACAGACTCAGTCTTCAGTGATTCAGACAAATTTTAACACCACAGAAGTGTCTGCAGAGAGCAATAAGTTGTGGGGTCACCTGGGAAACCCAGGAGAGAATGTCCTGCTGTAGCATTGGCAGCAGAGGGGCTTCTTGTTAGTGCTAAACCTGAAGGTTTCCTACAGGGAACCAAGGGCTTTCTAATGAAGGATTGAATTGGATTTGGTCTGTGCTCAGTGAAAAGCTCTTTGTTTCCAGTTCAAAAGCTTCAAGGGCTAAACATTCTGGATCCTGACACAGACATACTTTAGGCAACCTGCAAATACTAATCCACGCAAATTTATTTGGTACAAAACGTTCCTCTACGTCACCTTCTTTAAAGAAAAATCAGCAGTTGTCTTTGGAGGGGTTGTTATTTCACTTCTGTGATGGCCATTGTCACTGCTAATGACCAGGAACATTTTTCAAACTTTGTAGTGCTAAGGAGTTAAGAATCTGTGTTGGACAGACCATATTGACAGGAGAAATCCATCCTTCAGACAGCAGAACACTTGTAGTGTGTGTCGGGAGCCGTGAGAGCCACCAGGGACAAAAACACTTCATAGGCTGAGAGCAGGGGCCTGCTGCTTCAAAAGCCAAGAGAAGCAAGCTCCCTGTGACAGTATTTGGCTGTAGGAGTGCTTCTTCAGTGCTCAGGCTGCTGCCACAGCAATGTTGTGCTTAAGCTTAAGGTCACCTCCACTGCGATGGGGGAGCGATGGATGACTGTGAAAATGGAACATAGGAAAACAAAAGCAGGATTTTTTTTTTCCCTAGGACAATCAGCAGGGATCTTTTGGGGGTGAGGAGGGCACAGAATTGAATGTGTGTTGATCAAAATCTTTAAGAACTTCATGTAAAATGAGCAGAAACAGCTCAGCAATGTTTTTTATGCATAATCATTCAAAGACCAGGTACCTCTGTAAGCAGCTGAGTCAGGCACAACATGCAGACTTATCATAGGATGAAGTTGGGGCTCAACCTTTTCAGGAAACCAGTTTGCCTTCCCCAAGATCCGGAGAGGCACAGCCTTCTGAATTTTAACACTGTTCAAATGTTGGGGTTTAAAAATCTGTCATAGTACACTGTCTGCTTCCTGTGCCTTCAGTCGCTTTTCCTTCTCCAGTAGAAACCAGCACATTAACCTCACGTGGTGTTTTACAGGAAAGAAGAAGTTCAAGAGGAGGAAAATCTACTGCCAGATCACTCAGCACCTGCTTCAGAACCACAAGATGTGGCAGAAGGTGATTGAGGATGAGGAGAGGTTAGCTGGGTCAGAGAAGCAAGGCACGGAGCAATCCCCACTGCACCAATCTTCAGAACAAATCCAGGCCATCAGGGAAGAGGAGGAGGAGAAAGGGAAGGCCAAGAAGGATGAAGAGGAGAACACAACTGTAGAACCAAACCAATGACAATATTTACAGCAGTATTTTAAGACAGATTGACTCGTGCACAGACTCTTTCTCAAGCCAGCACAGCATTTAGACACAACACTGTAGAAGTATGGGATAATGCGCCTACAGCTGTTTAATTTGTTTCTCTTTCCTTTTTCTGGTGAGGTACATTGTTTAAACTCCTATGCTCAAGGAAGCTTTCACACTGCAACACCGGCTTTACAGACTTTCTTTGAAGAGATTTGGGGGTGGGTGGAATTATATATATATAGCCAGGGTTATTGGCTGCACACTTCAGCAAAATACATTTAATGATATATTATGGTCACTGTGATATTTACAGGAGAAAGTTATCTGAGGAAATGCTGCTTCTGAAGCACATTTGCAGTTAACAGTAAGGTACCAGTTAAGTAGCTTTTTGCTCTTAATGCTGAGGGATAAAAGTTCCAAAGCTTTATATGAATGCTGATATATCCTGCCAACACATATGTGTGAGTGAGGGGGTGTTTGCAAGTGTGAGTGGATGTGAGGAAATACAGCGTGCTCTGAGTTCTTACCACACTAGCTGTAGCACATGTCCCAGCATACCACAACAAAGAGAAGGCCAGAATTTTAGAGAATTCGTGCCTGCAAGGGAACAATTTTGAGGAGCTTTGCTTTCCCGTAGCCCTCCAGTGCCAGTTTGCACTCCAGCTGCGGGCAGCCTCCGCTCAGCGGCAGCCCAGGCGCTGCTCCGGCCCGACCCAGCTGTGCTGGATCTCCTCCTCCTCCTCCTCCTGGGCACCTCCCGGACTGCTGGCGAAAGGGATGTGCCAGGAGGGCTGTTTGCAGAGGGGGAATGCATGGCACAGCAGTCTGTGCCCGCAGGGCGAGCGCGCCGTGGGGCCGCTCGCGTGTTCGGGCACGGTGTCCTCTCCTGCCCTCAGCCCCTGCCTCTGGGCAGCCACGGCCAAGCGTGGCATGAGGAACAAAGCTAAACTGCTGGCAGGCAAAAGAAGGGCAGCGTGGGAGCCAGGGGAAGATGGCAAAGATGCATTAGGAGCTGCCTGGGGACAGGTGCCAGGCACTCGGTGTCCCAGGTGTGCTCACACGGGCTTCAGAGAACTCGGGTTTTCACTGTCAGGTGCTGCATGGCAGCAGTTTGTTGCTGGCATTCTGCTTAGGAGCAGCATGTTTGATCCCACCCATATATTTTTCCTTCTTTCTTCTTTTTTTTTTTTTTTTTTTAACAGAAAGAAAAAGATCAGGCCTGTAAGAACAGCAGATCTTTTTTTTGTTGTTGTTGTTGTTCCGTTCTTTTGTTTTCTCTGTTGTTTATGCTGTGAGCCAAATGTCTATTTAAAAGGTTGGATATTCACTTTCAATATTTTATTTCACGATATATTTGTCAATGATTAGCTATCTAGATGTAAATATGGAAAAATTTTTATGGGTTCCTGTAGATAATGATATCTTTAAGAAAAAAAAAAAAAGAAAAAGAAAAAAAGGGAAAAGTTGTTTTGTAAAGATAATTTTTTTAAAAATAAATACAAAAACATTTTTATACAGTGTAGCTGTTTCCAAACCCCACAAATAAAGTCTTGAGTAATCTGTATAGACCCTTCTGGGAAACCAGCAGTCTACAGGATCAAGGCTTTAAAATATTAATGCTCTTGGGGACTGGCAGCACCAAGCAGTACCCCACAATTCAGAGATTTGTTCCCACAGAAAGAGTTACATATATATATAAACTTCAGTATCTCTCAGAACTCCTTTGACTATGTATGCTTTTTCTAGTTTGATTTTGCAGCCCATTACCAAGCAGAGGGCTGCTTGTGAGAGTAAGATTCCTTGTGAAAGGCAGAGTTTGTGGAAGTCCTTTCTGTATTAAATTCCTGGCATTACACCCATCACTTTTTGCTATTGTTCCACGTTCACCAAATTTCATGGTCCTGTTGACACCTCCCCAAAATGTTGGAAAACATTCTCTATCAAAGCCAATCACATGTGTGTTATCACTTCAGAGTTCCTTCTTGCTTTGTGTTTCTGTCAGAATGAGGTTTTGCTCAAAAGAGGATTTTTGGGGTTTTTTGCTGGTTGCATTTTCCTGATATTGTCCTGTCCTGCTCTTACCAGTAGAAAATGTGTTTGCCTTTCAGCAGAGTGACTGGGGCAGGTTCTGAATGCTGTTATCAGCAGGAATATTTAGGAAGTGTTTTCCAGTGAAATCAGGAAAGCAAATATCCAAATAGCACTGATGTTTTAAAGGGAAAAGACACAGCAGGATTCATTCAAAAGGAAAAAAGTTGTCTCCAATATCTCAGCAAGTCTCCACCAATTCCAGCTTGTGTTGTTTTCCTATCTCTTCAGTCACTTTGATCATTTTATTTGGGCTTTTCTTGTGCAAGTGATATGCATACCTTACAGTTTAAGAAAGATTTACTATGCCTCATTATGTCCTTTAAAAATTAAAATTACAGAGATGTTTTAAAATGTCACATCTCCAAGCACTTCTTTCTTGATTTTCAGTGCATAATCACTGCAAATGAATTTTAATACTGGGGTTTATATTGCCTTTGCTGGAAGAGGAAAACAATTCTGTTGCTGAAAGTGTTAGTGGGTGCCCAGTTGGTAAAATTATGAAGAACCATTCAAGAATAAGGCAAAATCGTGTAAGGAGGGTTTCACATATTCCTCTAAGAGGGTTGGAAAGAACTAAGAGTAACTAAGAAAAGTTATCTAAAAATGTGCTGCAATGAAACCATTATATTTTTCTAGTCATCATTTTTGGTTGCCATTAAGTAAAGTTAGTGTCAGCTTCTAATTTGTTTTTCTGCATTGCCAAGGTAGCTGTTAGAAACTGATACACCATTGCTACCCCAGCCTGTTCATGGGAGCAGTCACTGAACTGGACCTTAATGGTGAAGAAATTGCTGTCTTAAAATGAGAATGATTGTTGTTTTTATCCAAACTAGAAAGAAATTCCAGTGAAGAAGCTGAAGTGGCTGTGAGTGCTGAGCTTGGTAAGAGGTGAATTTTTTTTGTCCCACTTCAAATAGTTAGTAATCCAATTTCTGCAGGTGGTCCCTCCTTATGAATCTGATTCTCAGTCTTTGAAGGGCATGTCTGGCAGCCAGTGATCAGAAAATCTCCAGGTTGGCTTAGATATAACAGAAAAGAAAATATCAGAGCGATTTTATGTCAAGAATGTGATGATTTTTTTTTTTTTTTTTTGTGCTTTGGGGTTCATAAATAACGAATCAGGTAATTTAGGGGGCTTTTTAATATTTTTTCGTCCAAAGGAGGCAAAACTTTTCACCTGCAGTTACAGCAGCCTTCTGGAGGCAGAAGGTTTTCCACTTTGTGTAGTCCTTTGGTGTTGCAAGCACCAAATAAACCACAGCCTAATAAATATTTTAGGAAGAAAAACTCAATAAAAGGAAATTAATTGTGTTGCCAAATTGAGCACCAGTCAGTGGCAGAGCCTACAAGGACTCTGTGTGGGCATCCAGCACTGCTGATCTGTGAGCTGAGCAGGTCAGCAACCTGAGCCTGGCTGGACTTGGAATCCTAGAGAATTTTGTCAGTTTTCAAAATGAACCCTAAGCATTTCTGAAAGCTTAGCCGTGAGTCTAACGCAGCAAAAGCTTTGTGGCTGGTGCTGGTTGTTAATGAAGTTCTTGTGCAAAGTCCGTGTAAGTCCTGCCACAACTGAGATGTTCCAACACCACATGGGAGGAAGGAAGGGTTCAGTTTAAGGAGGAGAAGTTGCTGAGCATCCCACGACCTCGTGGGCAGAAGATTAGACAGAAGCAGGTTCCCAGAGTGAAGGATTTACCTCTCTGCCCAGCCTCAGCCCTGGACGTTGCCCTTAGCACTTGGGAATTCCAGTCCTCCAGTGGATGGGGTTGAACACAGGCAGGGAGGGAAGTGAAACCTGCATTCTGTGGGAGGAGGAAAGGAAATCGTAGTCCATTCTCAGCCAGATTTTATAAAACAAAACTTATTTTCCTTTTCTTTCAAAAGCAAATGTAATCCTGCTGAAATGGAGTAACATAGAGTTTCTGGGAGGTTAATTGCTGTTTGATGTTGCAGTATTAGTTAAAATTATGGCAGTGTTAAAGAGAAGATAATTATTCCCATTAATTAGAGCAGGACAGTCTTCTTTTTTTCCTATTTGTCAATGAGTCAACAAGTAAGAACATCCAGGGATCTTGGAGAACCATACACATTAAGTGTTTTTGAACAGATGAAAGAATCACAGAAATTAGGTGTGAGCTGCCTTAAGAAACATTGAGAAGAGCTTGCAAAATTATTGACTATTGGAGTCAGACTTTGATTTAGAGCGAAATAGCACCAGTGCTTTTGAGAGCAATTTAGTATGATAGATCTTTGAATTTCATCACTTTCTTTTAGCAAAACAGCATTCCTCTGCAGGTAAATCAAAGCAGGGTTTAGCCCCTGCTGTGGCAGATATTGAGTCCCAGTGTTGGAGGGAGCAGTGTGAGAATTATTCTCCATTTACAACCTAATTATGATTTATTCAGAAGCCATTAGTGGGATTTTCCTGGCAGGCAGGTGTTCTGTTGATGAAAAATGCATCTCACCACCTCAGCAGGATGCAGATGTCACCTGAGTGAGCTCCTAGGACAAGCTCCTCAGGAGCCTGGGGGCAGAACAGCGCTGGTGTGTTTCTGCAGAGTTCCTTTTCACAGTGACAAAAGGCACAAAAGGCAAGAGCTAGTTAACAATACTTCTTGGATAAAAATGAAATGGTAAGCATTGTGCACTCTGAAACCCTGCCAGTGTCACTGAGGTGTATGCAGACATTCCCCCCCATGCTTGCTCCTGTAAAACTGCTGGTGAGTTCAGGTAAAACCAGCTGGCCTTGGGTGTGGTCTGTCAAGCTGAAGGATGTGGTAAATCAAGAAGAATATTTGGCTGAAGTTGTTTAATTCTCCTTCATCAAGGAAAATTTTGCTTGGTGTAAGTGGAGGGAGAAAAGAAAAAAAAAAAGAATTATTTCATTTGAGCTTTTCAGGTTGCCAGTCTGTGCCAGGGGTTTCTTGCTTCCAAAGCTGCGTGTGCAGTATGTCTGAGATGTGGGAATGGGGCAGCAGAGGAGAATTGTTCTGCCCTGGATGCCAGAGGGAGTCTTTGTGCTCTGGGGAGCACCACTGAAACCTGCAGCTGTGGAAAGAGCGGTGAATTAGTTGGGGAAACCCAAATATTCCTGTTTTCTGTGTGGAGGCATAGAGGCAGGTACACGAGACTTTGCCACAGCTGCAAGCCATGTGTT